GCTCTTCAGCTGATGCTTCACCTCTTCCAGGAAGCCCTCCTTGCCTTCTCTCTCCACCCTTTGTCAATGGCGTTGAACCACTCTTTCTCTGAGCTACCATTATACCTTTTAAATGTTTGTGTTATTTTGCTTAACATAATCTGTTTATATACCCGCTTCTCACACAAAATTATCATGCCCTTGAGGCCGGGAACCAAATCTGACTTCTCCTTGCAAACCCCGCCCCCCACCACCAGAAGGGCGCATGGCACCCAGGAGGAGGTCCTTTGGTTGGACTGGACTTGATGAGGTTGACACCTCCTGGGTTCACACCTCCATGTGACCCCTTTGCCTCGTCTTTGGACTCCACCTGGTGACTTTTCTACTAAATAGAACAGAGAAAAACCAATTGGCTGTCGTTTCTGAGACGAGGTCACAAAAGACCATGACGCTGGTCTTTCTCACCAGCTCCCTGTAGCCGTGGGAGTCCTGGCCCTGGGGACGCCAGCCGCTGTCTTGTGAGCAGAGAGGCTTCCACCTCTGGGGACTGAGGACCCCGGGCGGCAGCCGGCCGGCCCCAGAAGCCTGCCCAGAGCCGTGTGAGAGAGCCCAGACCAGGGTCACCCCGCAGCCCGGCTGACGTCCTGCCTGCGACCCACACAGACCCCAAGAGGGAACCCGCTGGGCCACAGAAACTGGAGACACTACGTGCTTTTCCTTTCAAGCCACTAAGTTTTGAACGAATTTATTATACAGCCGTGGTGATGGAGGAAGGGTCCCCCTGTTAGTTCCACGCCTGATGTGAGGATGTTCGATTGACCAGGGCAGACACCGGGCAAGAGGGGGCCGTTCAAGGCCGCTGAACTCCCACGGCTCTCGAGACTCTGGGACGTGAAACATCGCTGACCTCCAAGCGGCGGCGTCTCAGGACAAATAAAACCAGGCCCTGATCACCTGCAGTCCGTTCAGCGTCATGACGAGGAACATATGCGCTCAAATCCAAGTCCCGCGGGTCAGGACGCCGTGACGGGGTGTGACTTTCCCTCAGAGGCGTCTGCAAAGTCCAGACCTCAGCTCACGGTAAGAACAGCTCCAGTCAACGTTCGAGGAATATTAACTACTAACCACTGGTTCTCTGTTAGCGGCCGGGGACAGAAAGACAGAGAGACGCCACCCTGTCTACTCGAGGGACATGAGGACAGAGGCCCAAACGGCCCGAGACCCAGAACGATCAGTAACCCCAGTCCCGCTGCCTTCCATGTTCAGCAAATGACGCGCGTAAGAGGTCGTAGGGACAAAACCAGTAACACCGAAATAGACTTCTGCGTGCGATGGTGTTTGTCAACTTGGAGGGTGAGGGACCCGAGCCGTGGTATTAGCTACCTGACCCTCTGAGGACGGCTGGGGAGGGGTCTCGTTCTCCCGGCGCTGCCCTCAGAGGGGACGAGGGCCACGGAGACTGTGCGTCTGAGTGGCAGCGGAGTTTCAGAGGGGACCTGGCTTCAGGAATTTCGGGGTCAGAAGGGACAGCGGCAGCCGTCTAGGCGGGCTCTCCCCTGCGACTTTGTGTGTGGGCGTGTCCCCGGAGAGCCGGCCTGCGGGCCCCTGGACTCTGGCTGTGCGGCCGGCCGGGGAGCCCGGAGGACAGGCCGCCCGAATCGGCCCCCTGTTTCTCTCCTTCCTGCCTCTCGCCCTCCAGCCCGTCCGGGGGGCGGGGGGGCGGGGGGGCACGTCCAGACTCCGTACACTTCCCTCCCGCGTGTGACTACTGCAAACCGCAGAGGGGGCTGGGGAAGGGCGGACTCCGGGTCTGACGGCGGCTGGGCCCGGCAGCTCTCGCAGAGGCCGGGACCCCGGCGCCCACCCCGCCCGCTCCGTCTGGGTTCTCGTGTCCCCAGCACTCCTGCACTGCGTGTGGCACCTAAGAGGACTTCTGATGGTCTGGCAGGACTGGCCGCGAGAAAGCGCCCTTGTCCCTCACATCCAGGTGAGAACTCAGGGCCGGTGGTCTGTGCCCGGATCAAAGCCTGGGGGACGGGGCCCAGGGGATTAAAGGACCACACCTTTCCCATAATGGGGGGGGGGGATTACTCACCAGGCAGGACCCAGCGCGATGCA